GCGTTTCCCATCAGGAAGCGTTCCTTCTCTGCTGCTTATCTCTAACCCCCGCTTTAAACCTGAGCCTGGCAGAGACCAAAAGAAAGGCAGGATCAAAACAAAAATAATTGGGATCGCTGGCTTCCGTGGGCAGTCTGAACCTGTTATTCCTACTTATCAGCTACTTATTCCTATATAATTCTTGCAAGAGACAATTCAGCAGTTGCAGCATCTCCTTGATGAAAAGCACTCCAATAAAATAACCATGGCAACAGTTGCTGAGGGCTGGCATGGTGAGGGACGGAGATGTGCTCTCCATAGGACTCTGGGCCCAAGTGCCCTGACAAATAGCCCTGCTGAGCACCAGGAGGTGATGTATGGACAGCTCTGTTGTCCTGGCGGGGTCCCAGATGTGCTGGGCATGAAGGCTGCCCCAGTGCACCCAGTTACAAGTCACAATTTGTTAACCATGGGTGTCTTCCCCTCCACATGGAAGGGGAGCTTGTAACCTGAAAGCTGAAGGGGAATCATGAGGATGCTCAATCAGAAAGGAAGGGCCAAGGAGGGGAGCTCAGGGAGGGACACCACCTGCGATCCCAAAGCCAAAGAGGATTTCCCAGGGCTTGGATGCTCTGGGAAAGGCTGTGTCTCTCTGCTGTTGGTGCCAGAGACTGGTATCGATAATAAACACTTGGCATGTCTAATTTCAGAGCAACTTCTTTTTAAACACATGCTGAGACTGTGTTTGATGCTCTACAGGAGGGGTGACAGAGGCCATGTGGTGTTGCACGTGGGGAAGTTTGGGCATTTGCCTTGAAAAGTTGGCCCTTGGTGCATGGAGGAGCCAGCAGAGCCTGGACTGAGCCTGGAGAGTTTGTGCCAAGAGTCCTTCACCCCTGGCTCATCTCCCCACCATCCCACCCAGGGGTCCTCTAGGGATCACTGTTAGGACCACCCATGTCCTACTGCTCCCCAAATGCTCTGGTCATAATCTTGGCTGGGGAGCAGTTTATCTTATGGGATGAAGGCCTCTCAAGTAGCTTTGTGGGCATGGTGGTGTTTTTGTTAGGCACTATCCTCTCGTTGTTGTCTTCCTTAACTGGACATTTATAAGCCTGAAAAGTAAAAGAAGGAACATTCACCAGAAGAACAGAGAAGCCTGCTGAAAAGCAGCATTTGTACAGATTTCTAGAAAAGGGCAGTAAATACTCCACCTCTGCTTCATAATAATAATAGACAGACTAAGTATCTCTAAAAATATAAAATAACTTGGACCTATTTGGAATAGTCAACATCCTTATCAGCCTGCTGCCATCTCTACAAACAAGTTTCGCTAGAGATTCTGGGCATGATTTTCAATGGCTCAGAGCAGCTGTAGCTTCTTTGACTTCAGTGAAAAGTCTGAGTGCTCGGCACGGTGGCAAACCAAGCCTCTTCCTTTCTGCTTCAAACTGGGGCTTGATTCTAAGTGAGATGAATTTTCTCCTCCTGATAATTCTGTGTATCTGAAGTGATTACAGCTCCACGTGAGTGCTCTTTTAGGAGATTTCAATGCAGCATTTTCTTCCGTCTTAAAAAGGTTCCTTCAAGCCTTATGATGCTGGAGAAGGGGGGGAAAAAATAAATCCTGGTGGAAGCCGTTACATCTTCCTATGCAGATGAGAGATTAAAATTTGTATTTTTATAAAACACTCACGGGGGCTAAATCGGAAAAGTTCTGTTGACGCGAGCAGGTTTTGGCTGGTGGGAACGTGCTGCTAAATTCTTATCTGCCGATGGGGAGGCAGAGCAGGGAATGGTATTATTTGGAGTTCTTAGAGAGTGAGCTTTAATGTTTGCTTAACTCCACTAAAAATAGACGCCACCCTCTTTTCCTAATAGGCGGCATTTGTCACACTTGATTAATTTCCTCTCCCAAACTGAGCTCCTTCATATCTCTACTCCCCAGGAATCTGTCTGTCCTCACAAGTTGTACTCGCGGCGACCGTGCTGTAACAATGCGAGCCAGGCTTCCAGGGCTCCCGAGTACCTGGCCCGATGCAGCAAAACGCGCTGGTATCAACAGCTCCCATCGATTTCTGCTCCTCTCGGAGCCGTGATTGTTTGTTATCCCTCTCGATGAGACCCTTAACGAGGCTCCCGTTCCTGTTGTCATAGCAGCACCGCATCGCCCGGTGTAGCAAAGTCTCCGTGGCTGCTAATTGTGTGATGGGAGGACCAGTTTGGCAGTTTTTCTAGTGGGGATTAGGCCAAAAGGTCTCTTCTGAACTGTGATGAATGCGGCTTCCTTCAGAAGAAACTGCAACTTGGTAGTTAGAGGGGATTTCTGATGAGGGAAGCTTTCCACAGCAGAGAGGGAGAGCAGTCCTCATAGAGCTCTTCCATTCGTGCTCTGCCACTGCTTAAAGCAGGAGGAAGCCAACCAGAAATGCCAAAGGAGGATGTAAAACGGCTGATTCCCTAGTAAGGAAGTCTGTCAGTGCCTCAGACCTTCTAATCTTGTCCAGAGCATGCGGAAGGTGCCTGCTACTGTCATTTGCTGCTGGAGTGGGAAAAATCTACTCGTGCTGGGCGCAGGGATCAGCTCTGGTGCCATTGCTCGGCACCTCCAAGGAGATTTTCAGCCACGTGCTAGAAGAGTTGCTCTGAAGAGTTGCTAGAAGAGAAGGAGTTGCTCTGGCGTTGTGGGTGAGAAATGTGCATAGCAAAAGGAATGATCTCATCACACCTTTGCCTCTGCAAGTCCAGGACCGCTGCATGGCAGCCACGGTTGGTTAAAGAGGGCACAAGAGAAAGAGAGATGTTTGCTGCTTGACCCTGAGGAGTGATTTATCAGCCAGGATGCTCTGGTTAACTGGCAGGGCCTGGGCAAGGCTCAGCATCCCTGTCCTGGTGTGGAACAGCAGCACAGGGTTTGCTGTGGCTGTGCCATCCCCAGGGATGGTGGCTCATCTGCGGGCTCGCTGCTGGCTCAGCAGGAGGCAGGAAGGGCTGCAAAGGATTCACTGCTCCCATGTGCCAGGGGAGGGGGATCAGCTGTGCCTGCTCCCAGGGCCCTGCTCTTGGAATGCAGAGGGCAGATTTGTCCCCTGTGCCTCTCACTGGGTTTATTCCACAGTGCTGAAGTGTAGCCAGGGTAATCCGTGACCTAAACGTGGGCATGAATAGTGTTTTTAGAGAATGAAAAGAGAAAAAATAAATCCTCACCCGCCTCAATCTCTCTCCCCAAGTTAAAAACTCCCCTGGCCAAGCCTTGCAAATGAGTTTTTGTTGTTTGTGCAGTGAGGAGCCAGATTTTTAAAGGCTGGCTTTCAATTTTACAGCCGTTTATTACAGGCATGAATAATTGCTGGCACGGTGCTACCACTGCTGTTGTTTGCTCTTAAGGTTGGGCCAATAACATATGTAAGCCCTTGATTTACAAGCAAAAGCAGAACTAAAGTAGCTTTGTGGCCTACATTTCAAGAATGAGTGATGTGTCCATGGTCAGCTGTGGGTTTCCAAATTTGTGCTGTGAACCACAGAGGTCCATGGCCATAAATGTGTGGCCCAGATTGTCCAAGGCATCCTGTGGCACGGGCTGTGACAGCACAGCGTGAAGGACATAAACAGGGAGCAGCAAGTGAGGCCCGGGAACCTGCCCAGATTCATCCCATGGCAGGAATGCTGAAATATTGTGTTGCATTTGGGGAATTCACAGTGAACACACAGAAAAGAAAGGGAACTGGAACTGAACATAATGGTTCTGCAAGATGGACTTAAACCAAGCCTGTCCAAGTCCTGCTTCCCAACATGAGAACTGGTCTGTCTCCAGCTCCTCTGGGCACTCAGCCCTCTTGGGAGAGGAGAATCGCAGAATCCCAGAATGGTTTGGGTTGGAAGGGACCTTAAAGCCAATCCCATTCTCCACCCCCTGACATGGACAGGGACACCTTCCACTGTCCCAGGCAGCTCCAAGCCCCAGTGTCCAACCTGGCCTGGGACACTGCCAGGGATCCAGGGGCAGCCACAGCTGCTCTGGGAACCTTGTGCAAGGCTCTCATTTTCTTCCCAATATCCCATCTAACCCTGTCCCCATCAGTGTGAAGCCATTCCCCCTCATCCTGTCACTCCAGGCCTTAGTCCAAAGTCCCTCTCCAGCTCTCCTGGAGCCTTCTAGGCAGTGGAAGGGGCTCTGAGGTTTCCTCAGAGCATTCCATTCTGCCCTCCACCTCTTTCAGCCTGTCTCCAGAGTGGAGGTGAATCCATGGAATAGCTGCTATCCACTGTGGAACTTAAAAATGGCTGATTGAGATCAAGGAGAGGATTTTTCTTGCTTCTGCACAACAGGCAGAGAATGGAAAGGAGGTAGGTCAGTGTGATGGCTGTTCTCCATGGGGTGATGGTTTCCAGAAATCACCCACAAGTGCTGTGACCTGGACTCTGCACTGCCCAGCATGGGGAAGGTGTCACCGTGCTGTGCTGTGTCGCAGACATTTTTTCACAGAAATCCTTTCTTTCAGATTTCTGCATTTTCTGGGAAGCTGAGGGCCCCAGAAAGAGAATGTAAACAATTATTATCAGATGCTGTGGAATGCAACAGGGGCAGCTTGATTGGCTCATGTTCCATGTTTCTAATTGGAGGCCAATCACAAAGTGCAAGCTAGGGACAGAGTCCCTGGACACAACTTTGTTTTAGATTCTTTCTTTTCTATTCTTAGCTTAGCAAGCATCTGCAACCTCTCTCTTTATTCTATTTAGTATAGTAATAATGTATTATATATCATATATCAATAAATCCAGCCTTCTGATCAAGAAACAAGATTCTCGTCTCTCTCTCACCAGCAGCGACCCACTCGGACGCTGTAATAGTGCTGGTGCCATTGGGTGCCACCAGCCATGGGGTGAGGTGGGAGCCAGCCCAGCTGTGCTCCTCCACCCTGGCCTGGTGGCAGGCTGGTGTCTTTGCTGCTGGGAGAGCAGGAAGGGCAGGATGTGAGGAAGGGCAGGATGTTTGTGGGCGCTGATGTCATTGCCACAAATCAGTCGTGGATGTTGTCAGCGGGAGGCAGCGGCGGCTCGGCTTGGGAAGAGGCCAGCGTGTCACAGCCCAGGGGCTGGCCAGAGGAGCACGCTGCACTCATATCCTCACTCATCACACAGCACATGGCTTCTCAGCCCCCTCCTGCAGAGTTTGTGTGGTCAGCTGGAGGCCGTGGCCACCTCCCTGGTGTGCATGGCCCAGGCTCAGTCTGAGTCCTGCTGATGGACTCAGCTTGGAGATGCTCTGGCCCACCTCAGCAAAGGCTGCTCCTGCTGCCATCCAGCTGGGCAAGAAGCATTGGTGCAGGACCAGTGATTTCTGGAGTGATTTCCTGAAGCTTCTGAAGGCAGAGACAGCATCCAGACCCCCCTGGCAGCCCCGTGGTGTGCACTCTGGCCCTGGCAGAGTGGGCAGCAGAGCCATGGGGAGGCACAGCCAGGTTTGTTTACGAGGCTGCAGTCAGCCTGGCTTTTACACCCCAGCAATTACTGGCAAGCCCTGGCTGCTCCTGCACCTTCGCAGCACATGTGTGAACTCCTGGTTGTGTCACGTCCCTGTTCCCTCCTAGCGGAGTCTAGCAGTGGGAAGTGATCATCACAACTCACATTTGCCTGGCGTATGTCTTTCCACAGTTCCAGTGTGGAATGAATTGAACCCACTTCCTCCTTCACCTTCAAGCTGTTCCCGGATGCAGGCAGCTCAGCTTCCACAGCCACGCTCAGCTCTCGGAGCTTTTTCTGCCCTAGGGATGGAGCCCTTCTCTCCTGCCTGGCAGAACCTGCCTGGATGCTCCCCCTTGCAGAGGTGGTGTTCATCTCATGATCTTTTGGGCTTTCCCTAACCCTTCCCTTGCCAGGCTGAGGCTTTCTGTCCACTCCCTCCTCCACTGTGGCAAAGGAGGGCTTTTTGTCTTTGCCTTCAGGGTCATAAAATCTTAATTAGCACGTTGGCTTTCTTTGTCAAGGTATCCGCTCTCTCCATCCATCAGTGATGTAGGGCACATTGCTGACATTCTCTTCTTCCTGCATAATTATCTTATTCCATTGCATCTTTTATGCACAATCTTCCCTTCTGGAAGGGCTCCTCTCCCTGCTCCCACTTTCCCTGAGCACCCAGTTCAGCTCTGGTACCTGCCATGGCCTTGTTTCTTACACCTGCATATGAATCCTTTGAGTTATTCCTGTATTTTGTTAACTACCTCGATCATTTTGGCTCTTTGAGAGCTTGATTCAGGCATTCATAAGTGTTTCCTTCACCCTCTCTCTGAAAATGGGATCTGTGTCACCCAGCTTCAGTGCTCCTACACGAGTTTCCACCTGAGCTGGCTATCCAGCCAGGGACAGGGACTCTTCCAACAGGCAAATCATTCCAGCTAAGGCAGGAGTCAAAGGCAGCCCCATCTCCCATTAGATAAATCATCTTTTCTGCTTTCTGCTGCTGACCTTGAATTTCTCTGATGCTTTTCAGAACAGATGCAGCCCCCTTTAGAGTGACCCTAAAGCTCTAGGCAGTGGATTTGCCTCTCTGGGTTAGCCAGGGCAAGTCCCATGGAAAAACAGACATGGGGTCTATAGGGACATGCAGACCACAGGTCAGGACATGTTACTGAGGGAGCCCAGGCAGCTCTTATGGGCTGGAAGTCTTAATTGTAGCTGTCTGATGTTAACAGAGATGAATCTGACACTTGGAAAGGTTTGGGGGAATGTTTTCTTAATTTGTATTTAGGAAATGTAAAGGTATATAGTGAATGTTTAAAAACTAACAGCAACAATAATAACAGTAATTATAGGTGGGCACAATTTTCTTTTATCTTGTAACTGAAGTTGCTAGAAAAAAATGACTGCTGTGCTGATACTTGGCAGGGACACTGATGTGAGTACCCACTTGTTTCTGAAAAACGCTGTGGGATTTTTAATGACCATCAGCAGCACAACCTTGATTTTTAAATGTCATCCTAAATGTAGCAGTTACAGCCTCCTCTGCTGTGGCATGTGGGTGGGTGAGTAGGGATGAATCAGAAAGCAGAAAGAATTGCTGGTGCTTTCTGTGGCTCCCAAGTTTTCCTCGAGGGCTTCCCACCTAGGAACTGGCTGGAATTATCCATGGGTTGTGTTGCAGTCCCTGGTCCCATGGCATCTCCTGCTGTTGCTCTCTCCTCTATTAATCCATTATGAAGTCGCTTGATGTAGAATGAGGTTATCAGGTTTCTTCAGGAGCTGGTATTCCACAGGATATCCTCTCTGTTTATCAAAACAAGATAAATGAGAAAAACGTTTCCTAGCTTTTGCAGATGCAGTTTTCCATTCTCCCTCTGGCTGGAAACACTCCCCAGGCTTCACTTTCGGAGCTGAAATCTGTGCTTGGCATGTGCAAGATGGTGATTTGCTTTTGTAAATGGAGCAAAGTCTTGGTTTTGAGTCATGACTCAGTGAAACAAATCTACTTTTATCGACTAAAACGATTCTAATAGCACCATTAAACCCACTGGGACCGGGAAGAGCCAGAGTGACACGGCAGTGGGGTGGATCCAGCATCTTCCCAGGCCTGCCAAGGCTCGGGAGCGATGAGTGGATGGGAAGGAGCATCCCTCCCTCCCTCTTGCCGTGGTACCCGGGGCATGGCCGCAGCCGGGCAGATGGGAGCGCAGGGAGGCTCTGATGGAGCTGCTCTGCCCGCCCAGGGACGGGAGGAGCTGCGAGCAGATGGCAGGGTTAAAATAGGACAGAGCTGCACCAAGCTGCTGCTGCAAGGGAGAGGAGTGATATTGAAGTGAAGGGGAGACGACCATCCTTTAATGCATCGAACTCCAACTTTATTGATCAACCCATCACCTTAAATAAACAGTGCTAACAAACGCCATGAATATTCTGTAACCCAGATTCGTGATAGGCTAACAAAGAAACTTCTAACCATTCCCTTTGTTTTAGAATACCTACAATTGTTTATTAAAAACAGAAACCAAAACAGAAACCAGAAACTAAAACAGAAACCAGTGTTCCCAAAACTTCTACATCTGTTCTCAGGATGGCAGGCCTTCCCAGAGACGGTGTTCTGCTTGTTATGGGAAGACAGCCCGAGAACTCCATTGTTTATAGAATGATGCCTGAGAGAGTCTAATTGTTTATACAAATCAGAAGGCTGAGAGCTGTTAGAAACTGCTTTTACTTTTCCCTCATACTTTTCTCTCAATTGCATGTCTCATGGCCTTTTTCTTTAAGTCATTCTCCGACATTTCCCCCGTTTTTTCTTTTTTAAGAGAGGAGGTTAGTTTGCCAGGTTCTCCTGTTCACTATCAGGGGCAAAGAAAAGAGAAGGGAACTCATCCACTACGCTTGGCAACACTTTAAACTTCAGAGCAGCTTCATGTGGGCCTCATAACAAACTCCAAAAGTACAGACCCCACTCTGCCAGGGCTCAGCTGCACCAAAGGCCTGAGGACAAACAGGACACTCAGTGTCAGAAATGTGATCCTGTGGAGAAGGATCAGAACCAGTGCTCAGAGGTGGAATAATGATAACTTGCTTAAATAACAAGATCCACCCTGCGCTTGGGCTGGTATTCCATTCCAGGCTCTATCTCCGCAAATTAAAAATATCTTAGGTGTCATAATAGTAGAGCCTTTACACCGGTTATAAAGCTGTTTGGACACTATTTCCAGGTTTAGAGATGAATCCAGAGTAGCCCATGTCTGTTTATACTGACTCATCCTTTGAAAAGTAGAGTAATCAAAGCTGAACCGCAATTATCTAAGTATGTTCCCAGATATGCCTATAATTACAGGTGTGGCACCATAAATGAAAAAGTAACAACTGATCACCCAAAAATCTTATCACAATCCCCACAACACAGTGCAACCCAAGCAACACAATTTAGGCTGTGATATTCAAAACAGTTCTCTTTTGCCGGTCCTCTTATATGGAAAGATGATAATGATTCAATAATGTCAATCAGTTCTCTGGTCGTCCGGCAACGGCGTGTTATTGCCTTATCAGGCATTGCACGACAGGTGGTAATTGGACTAAGAAAAGAAAGCTGTTAGCTGTTTTCATTCATGCGAACCTGGAGAGAAGGTGAAAAAGTCTGAAAATGATTCTTTCTGTCCTTGAATTTATCACATCCACCTTTTTTCATGAGCTTCCCAGAAATGTTCAAAGTCAGTTTTCAGTTAGTAATCCTTTAGTCATTTGGCTCAAATGGCATCAACTGGGCGATTCTCAGTCCTTTGTTAATTTGGAGTGGTGAAAAGATAATATGCATTTAAAGCACTTAAAATATTTAACTTAGCAGACTTATTTGTAAATCATGTAAAATCACTTAAATCTAATGCAAACTTAACAAAATCTAACTTAACTTACTTAATAATACTTAACAAAAATTAGATTTTCTTCAAATCCCACACAACTCAAACCTATATATAATTTAAACTTAGAAGACCTCGAACCCAACCGAAAACAAGCTTAACAAATTTAACCTTAACATTTAATGGCACTTAATTGATAACCCAACTTAAACTACTTAATAACAGATAAAACTTACTATAGAAATAAAATATAGCATTTACTATAACTTACTTACAGGCCTGATTCTAAAATATTAAGCTAAAACAACTTTCTTCACGTGTTTGCTATAGCATTTTTATACTTAAATACACTTAAACACAAGTTCATTTAAGGTGCACCTTTGAAAAAATTCTTTTGAATTCAGTGCTTGCTTTTACATCTATCACATTTAAACAAAGCTTAGAGAATACAAAAAACACACTCATTACATCTCACTTCTACAATCACTTTAACACATCTTAAACAATTTTAAATTTTTCAAAACACAGCTTTAAAGTCTAATGTTCCACTGACTGAGCTGTCCGGGCTTCTGATGTTCAAAGTCTCTGGTAATACAGGTGTTTCCAAGACAGCATAACCAATGCCGAGCCAAATCGGCCGAAATTTGACTCCTGCATTCATTTACGCTGATCTGCTTTACAGTCTGTGCTGGGGAGAACAAAAGATCTTTCTAACTTAGGTGAAAAACATCCTGACAGCAACAGTCCTTGGTGTCGTTTGTTTAGTTTCACTG